TCCACCAACTTGCCACACAAACTTTAGGTTACAACACAACACTTTATTATCAGCCAATTCACAATTAATATTAATTGTCCGAAAAAATAAGATCTATCAAGATGTTTATTATCTTCCCACATTCGATAATACAAATACATTGAATAAAATAGACTTCAACATGTTTTCACTAAACATCGGATACTAATTAGGAATATTCGATATTCTACACCCAAAATTTTAAATTTTTTCGGAACAGTGAAATTTTCAGTTTGACTCTTGATGATCAAGAGGTAAATTATTAAATTGAATATTTCAACAAGTTTGATGAATGGAAAGGTCATTATTGGTGTCAACACAATCATGACCTCATTTATTATTGGCAAAACAAGTAAAAATAGAATCCCAGTTCATAACGGAAGGCCATGAATATTTTACCTGATAAGTAGGACAAAAAATGTCACTGATGTGGAAAAAGGTACATGAAATACTTATGGAAAAGATGTTTGGCGGTTTCGATTGTATTTTGAAAATTAATGTGCCATAATTATATTAGTGAATATGGTACAAAAAACAACTCTCTGCGAGAAAAAAAAAGTTTCACTGTTAGAAATGCTATGCCATCTATAAGTCGAATTTATATCAGTAACATTCTATGAATTTAAAAATGTATCAAGTTGGAAAAGGCTTGGATTGGGAAATTGCAAATAAATCCAACTATTCACAATCAGATGATGGACGAATTCAACTTTATGATCAACATATCAAAAAGTGCCATAGAAAATAATATCCCATTCACCAAAATGTAACATTTGTTTTGCACTAAATAATATGGACAGCATATTATAATTTTGTTTGTCTCAATACTGTGAAATGCCTCGCCATTTCATTGTCGTCAGTAAATCTAAGCTAAATACATTTTTGCAAACACCACAATAAACTATAAACTTTAGAAGCGTTATTGGACAAACCGTAGTTTGTTTTGATAAGCGTTAGCTGTCCATTGTGTGACTGTTGGTTCAGTAGACGGTGATGACTGGTAGAGCTGGTATGTTGTCATTATAGATGTCATGCTGAGTGGGCGTGATGCTGGACAGGGATTCAATTTATTTGTATTCAATATTCCCATCTAGGGTGTGGAGAACCAGTACTGTTTTTTTGGTCTCTGTCTGCACCCTGAAATGCTATTCTTAAATGTTATTCTAACCCTACACTGTAAATATATGTTCAGCATTGGTGGGAAAATAAAATAATGATATTCTGAATTGTTGATTTCAGAAATTAATAAAAATAGTTCATTTTATAAAATTTTAATTTTGTGCAATCAAGAATTAGTTGTGTGACCAAAACACATTAAATATGAAATTGTTAATTATAAAATCTATTATTTATCAATCAATTTTCAACGCAGGAGAGCTTCACCAACAACATATTAAATTAGAAAAGCCTATATGGGGTTTGATTAAGATACAAGATTTAGATTGTTTGGAAAAAAATCAAATAAGGAAATTTTTCCATTATTATTTACAGGCCTAATGCCACAATGCCCTTATTTTAGTCCACAATTAATTAAAGAATTTAATTTATTCTTCTCAAACCCTCGAACTAATTTAAACGAAGTGTTTTCAAAATTTCATCTAAACAATGTTTGTATCAAAACAGCAAATACAAATATATTTCAACATTTATTTCAAATTTCACTAGCATTTCAATCAGCCAAGCTCGACCTACACAGTGTAATAAATGCAATCTGATCTCATTTGACACTAAATTGGTCAATTAGGAAGTGCTCAATATAATTTATTATTTTATGATTGCTATCGCAAGTATGATGCATTAGGTGCGAATATATGTGTTGATGGTTGTACAATGCAGGATTGTGTCAATGGTGTGATATGACAGCACAAGTGTCATGTTCTCACACAATTGAGATGATTCGTATGTGTGTGTGTGTGTGTGCCACAAAAAATAATGTCATTTCATCGATCTAAGCCAGGGGTTCTCAAACTTTCGATGTTACATAGCCCCTAAAGAGGTTGACTATTATTAAAGGAATAAAAAAATTTATAAAAATAAATTTATAAAAATAAAACTCAGATGTTTTAACGGTAGTCAAATGTTATTAATGCCTTTATTACTTATCGATTTCATCCGGTAAGTATGTTGATAGGTATTTGTCTGTCTGTCTGTTAGATGCACGCGATATCTCACAAAAACGAGATTGAATCTGCTCCAGATTTTGCATGTGCATTCATCATATCTCGGACCAGAAGCCTATTAATTTTGTGCGAATTATGTTGTATAATTAGCGAGTTATTAATTAATTAGTGATGGGACACAAGGTGTCACTATTGAGTAAGAGTGCTGTTTTGGGTGATCTCCTAACTTTTGATCGATAAGTCTTCGGTCTCTGACCGATATTCTCGTTTCTTCTTTGGACAGTTACAAAATTAGCCAAGTCTGTATTTTAATAAGTAAACGAATAGCTCGCAGAGCCCCAAGGTTTCTCTCACAGAACCCAGGGGCTCTGTACGAGCACTTTATGAACCAACCTAAGCAACCACACTAACTAAAGAAAGCCACAACAAGTAATTCTAAGAAAACCGGTGTTTGAAAGAACACAGAATTTTTTGGGCCTTCCTCAAATAAACCACGTATTCCAGTACGCGGTGTGATATTAAATGAAATGATTTCAATTCCACCATAGTGGAATCAAAACTTACTGGGCGGAAAATCAAAACTTCAAGTGTGGTTTAAAACAAGAGAAATAGAGTACAACATGGCCAATATCACCTTCCCATGCCACACTACATTAATTGACTACTTAATAATTAATCTTAACGAGCAATCTTTCTCTCCTTCTAACAGTTGGCCTAACAAGTGACGCAAGCTCATAAAACACTTATGACATACAACAAACTTTCTAATGTGAAGTGCATATGTATCATAGTCTGTTATTTTGTCTACTGCCCAGAACTTGAGTCCCACTTAGGTAAAGTAGAGGATAAGTATCAAAAAACTGAATCGGGAACTTGACGATGTTGGGTGAATTTTGAAGAATATTTCCAAATGACTTCATGAGTAAAGTGGGAATATTCAAATTATGAACTCGTTTTGTAGCTCAATCAACATGACAGTGAAGATGTAAAATGCCAAATATATTAATAAATGAAATTGCAAAGCATGAATACATGGTGAATCATGTCAAATTACACCCTGCTCCTGAAACAATTTAATTCCAAGTTTTCAAATGTTCCAATATTTTATCAAATCAATAATTCAAAGTCACTTATATTTTATGGTGAGATCAATATCAGCATAGGAAAATGAATTAAAAAAAAGTTTTCAGAAGAGCCATCAGCTACACAAACTCTACAACAGGACTTTATGACTTTGCAAATTCAGTTAAATTTACCAAAATTAACTCACAGTACTGTTTAAACACATAAAACAAACAACTAGGTGCTGAAACAATGTGTAACACCAATCTGTCAATGTTGACCCATATTGAAACAAATAATCATTGGGAACACTGCTATAGATAGCAATTGGGAACACTGCTATAGACATTCCAGGTGAACAAGAATATAGAGCAGTGGTTCTTAAACTTTTTCGAGCGCGACCCAAATCTGAGTTTTATGAATACTCGCGACCCAATCCTAAATACCGCAAAATGTGTTTTTAATGTTAGTACAGTTTGACTCAAATACAGACAACTATTTATTAGAAACAGTCCATTGACTCAGTGAGATTGATGAAACTGAAATTTCCTTTTCATTATATCTTCAATACACAGCTTTATTTTACTTAACGCAATACGCAAGTTGTCACGGGTATCGAGGCGATTGCGAGCTTAGTTTTGATAACCGTCAGTGCCAAATATCCTCGCTCGCACAAGTGCCTTGTCGCGAATTGTAGCAGAAAAGGCGTCCGCTGTCCGTCGCAAACACAACATCCTAGCTGGCCTTCGGTATCTCTCGCAATATACAACTTTTTACTCAAATGTGCACACACTGCTTCGTTCGCGGTAAATGGTGCCTCGAGATGAAGTCACATTTTCTCTAGTTATTGAATAATCTAATGTCGAGAAGCGAGCTTTTTCATTGCGTCGTCTATTACAATTTACATTACCAAATAGACACCCATTTTTGGTTATTTTAATCCACTAAGACGACATTCCACGCGGTCAACACAATGACAAGCGACGTGCATGGTTACCGATACCATAAAAATAATACACGTGACTGGCATATCAAAATTGTGATGTAACAATGAGCTCAAGACGGTTCTTTCCGTGAATGAAATTTTATATTTCATTATTTTTATACCAGAGTTTAGAAGCTAAATTGAAACATTGGGAAAGCTGAAAATTCGCCCTCCTCCTCTTAGATTGCCCTTGCATTGACGACCTTGTCGCGACCCATTTTCAAACCTTCCGCGACCCATGTTTGGGTCGCGACCCATACTTTAAGAACCACTGATATAGAGGCTGATCTAAGAGATTTACTTTCCTGAATATTTTTTAATATGGAGTATGATTACAGGGGCATGACCAAGGGGGAGGGGGAATTTGAAGGTCAGAACCCATCCCTCTTGAAATGTAAAAAAAGCATTTCTCAGTATCATAGATAGCAATTTTCTGTAACTTGTAAGGCTGTAACGCTTTTTAGACCCTCAAGACTAATGAAAACACACGTTTTCCGGCCCAAACCTGGACATAATACAGCCTTACTTGGCAAATGACCCAGAAAAAAAAATATTCTTGAATAAACTAACTCTGAATGTATTGGATATTCCTTTCGACACCAACTGAACTCAACCTACCCTCAACTGCACTAAAGATGCCACAATGTGGAAAAAAGCTTAATAGTAAGGCCAACAATTAAAAAAAATCAGTTTCCTAAAATGCATCGTGGCCCACAAGGGCCCAGTCAAGGAAACCATAACAAAGATTATAAAAAATGTCAAGATTTTATCATATGACCTTTAATAACGGTACGAAAAATATTTAAAGAACTTACCAGTCTTATTTCAGGAACATTTTTGCCGAGCGTCCACTCCTGACTATTCACAAACGCATCTGAATAAAATGTTTCATGTTTAATGAAGCATTTTCACACAATCACATAAAGCGGCCCAATCGTGGGTCACCGGGCACTTTTTAGTGGGCCACCGATAAATTCCAAGTACTGGTACATAAAAATGTTCTATAAATCCAACATTACATATAAATATTCTGCCAAATGGTTTCGTCATATATCAACGTTATGTTCATTTCAACTAAACAAAGTAAATACTATTATGTGGTTGAATTTAAAATTCCCAACAAAATTGTTGAGCCTTAAAAAACCTTTTCCATTTTACTATTTGCTCTTACTTAAAAACTTTTGCTCAAAATAATAGAGCTGAGGTTACCAAAAATTTTAGAGATGTTTTTACACATTTACAATTTCTAATGCTCCATAATAATATTAACATCTATCCTTTTCAGCTTGCAATTAGGCTTGCATATGCTAAAGTTCTTGATATAAATTTCCCTGGGAGCTGGGAGTCTAAATTTTTTCTCTTTCAAATCAGGAGTTGATGATAATGAATTCGCTACGACATCCCTGCCCAGGTGTATGACTCATGTTACGGCCATACGACTATGTGGGAACGTTAATCGGTAAGTAACTATGTGTTTTTTTGTTTTATGAATTTATAATGAGGCTCCGTAAATAGCCTAATAGTCAAGCCCTTCACAAGCTCTGTAGCACCATAAGTTTGAGAACCCCTCGGATAGCTGATTTATAATTGGCAATTTACGACAATAAAATTTGTAAATTTGCTTTCAACATCCCTCACCTTCAACATTGAGCACATGATCTCTGATCTGCGACTGCAATTCCTGGTTATTTATTCGCTGCACCAACTCATAGATGGCGTAGATGCTCGGGTGAACACTCTCAAATCTAGAAACAAGGATTCAATAAGTAAGTTTGATATAGGGGATGGATAATCTAAGATGAATTTGAATTTGCTGATGTGAGAATTCAATTGTTCAAATTGACAGGTTTCTAAATCCATTCTGAGCCCTTTCTGGAATCAATAATGCTAAATATTGAATTTATTTGATATTCTTTCATATTTCGGCCTCAGATGATCTTGCAGCTTCAACTGCCCAGCGATGAAAAGGCAATAGAAAATATTGTATTTGAATGCCTGCGACTCAGATGTGAAGGCAAGAACTATTGGACTAAGAAGTGGCAGTTTGTCACACGATCCCGCAATGCACCTCTTGAATGAATACAATTTCAAATGCATCTGGGCATCAAAATGCACTTCAGGTACCAAACAATAAGTTCTGAAAAAGACTGATAAGACCATTCTGACTGTACAATTGTACATGTATGCTTATTAATAATACCAAAAATGTGATTTTCCTAGAATCCTAATAAAATGTAACATAAGCTTGTCACACGATTATTCAATGCATCTTTTAAAAATTAATTCGGATATCAGTGCGTTTTGAGCAATTTTGGAGCAAATACAAGCCATAAGTTCACAAATTGGGCTAATATGACTATTATGGGTAGTCATGCCTCAATTATTTTGAAGCCAAAATGATGTGAAATCATGATAGAATGAACACAGACAGAACATTACCTGACAATTTCCTGCCTGATTGCAGTTGAGTTCTTGAACTCTTGTTTGTACGATTCCATGATTCGCATTTTACATTAAAAACATTTCTAGAATAAATTACTTCATTTTATATAACACTGGAAATGAAATAATAAAGGTTGGCTAGATATGTAGGAGGCTTGAGCGAAAATTATAAATATAATGTAATCTCGCCAAGCCAACTAAGGGGGCAGCTCATACGCGCATAACTAAATGATCGCACTAAAAGGACAATATTAGTGAATTTGAAGTATTTCGGGACACTTCCCACAATTAATAATAAAAAAAGTTTGTAAAGCAAAACAATAATTGTTATTATTTTCATTAATTCTCTTCTGCAATCATTTGATGCGATAAGTGCATACGGCGTGATACGATTTGAGTCGGCTTATATCCTCTTTTTATATAGCATATTCATCGTTTTATTGCCGTTTTTAGGGAGTCCGTTTATATGCGAGATATACGAGATTTTCTCCAATTGTCAATATATAATACTAAATTCTGTAATGGTTTTGCTATTCGGACAATGGATAACATAATTTTTTAGCATTTCCAGAATACTCTAACGCAGTGCTCTTCAACCAGGTATACTGTATACCCAAGTGTATACCGGACCATAAGTTGGGTATACAACTGATAAAGGGTATACAAAGGGTGTACAGCCTAAGTCAGGGATTTTAAACTGTAATATATTAAATTATGACATATTCAAGCAGAGACAACAATGCAAATGCGTCTCACATGAAATATAAAATGTCCTCTGAACGAATAACCGACTTGAGCACATTGTTACATCAAAAAATATATAGATAAAGCTATGCACTTCGTTTGATTAACGTTGAAAATTTATTATTATAACTTGCGGACACTAGTCTATTAGATTACATGGTGATATTGCAGTATCGTCAGTTTTAGTTTTTTTACAATCTGTGCTTAAAATTTAATGTTTATTCAAGCCCTAAATAAACATTGGCATTTGTGAGGTATACAAAGTTCTTGAAAATTTGTAAAAGATATACCACGGTATAAAAGGTTGAAGAACACTGCTCTAACGGTTTGAGGCAAGTGCCTGTCGCATTGAATTAGAAGCATTGCCGTTCAAATGATTACATCATTCATTGAAGAATACCGGCATGAATTATTAATAGGCCTAACAAGCAGGAAATTGCAGAGCAATAGAGACTAAGTGCTGTTACAGGGATAAGCGCAAAGGATATCAAAGTATGTAAATCGATATCATGGTTGCAATGGCTTAGTGATTAGGGGAATAATTACCAATCTTTGGGACGCGACCAAACGGTGTCACCTGAACATTTTTTGAGCCGCTTTTTTCAAAGAAAACCTAAAAGTTACTTTTTTTTATTAGAAAATCTTATTGTTTAGCCTATATTTTTCATTTGGTATTGAAGTGTTGCTGAATAGTAATTGTATATGTGGGAAGTATCAAAGCAAAAAAACTTGGACAACTCACAGCAAACTTACATTATTACAAACAAAATATTTTGCAGACTAACTCAAAGCTTATACTACCTCAACAATCCATGCTGCAACTTGCTATCTGAAAGCATCTAATTATAAACCTACGCCCATCTGGAATTAAGTCGACTTAAACATGAAAACACATAACAAATATTAACTACAGAAATTAATCGGCACCGGATTAAGAAATTCATTGACAACAAATATCACAAGCACAAAACGCAGGATGGGTTCCAATCGTACAGTAACTACTGCAAGACTCTTGAATCATTTAGACATTTAACACAATACGTGTGATTGTTCTGCCTCAACAAAAATTTGTGATCTGTGACCTGGCAGCATTGATACATTTAAAAAAAAAATTTGAATTGAATATTGAAATCGGCAATCACAATCATTATGATTCTCATACAAATTTGCTCAAAATAAGACGATGCTCTCATTCAAATACAATCATAATAGAACACTATGACTATTTGTCACCTACCGAGGCGCAGTCTATCCTGTTCAAGATCTCTAATTGTAACTCTAATAAAATCTGTTATACCCCATTAGGGATGGATTATGCAGCGGCAAACCTCAAACTGTAGTGAAAGGAATTTTATACCTCTGCAATATAGCCACACATCCAAAATATGAGGGTATAACAAAGTAAAAGCAGTAACTGAACAAATAACGCCAAACATGTGAAAATACTGCACAATTTTCAATTTTTTTAAATATAAAACACTGTCTTGCACGAAATGCTATATCCTATTTGGCATGGGACATACCTGCATAATAGAATAGGTATACCAAGAATTTCATTCCACACAAGAAAAATATTTTTCAAAAAAAGTTGTGTTTGCATGTCGCATTTTGTTCGGCGTTATTTAAGCACTTATTAAGGTGTTTATCTTGCCATACTCCAATGTGGATCATTCGAAAGTATTCTGGATTTAATCTGAGTATTGTGGAAATTATTCCGATTCCCTACTTCTGCCTAATTTCCCTGCTACATAATAATTTCAAAAGGCTAAATTTAGAATGAAGTACCTATCAAACGACACATAATTATCTTCATGCACGTTTTGATTTTATCAGTGTTATGTGTAAATAAATAGCGGTGCAGATGAAACAACCACACAATGGAAAATTACAGGAAATCATACTTCGCTTTACAAAACAAAAGGAAAGATTTGTCTTAGGGAGGAGAGGAAAGTATATAAGATGGGTTATAGTTAACCGCGGGTTTTAGTGTCACTATTGTTTAAATTAAAAATGAGACGCAATCTTCCATCGTGCGAGACGCCATCGTTTCAGAGACAAATGGAGTGGAATCTGAGAACTGCGACCTACCGTAATATATAAATTTACAAATATTTACAGATTTATCAACGATTTTTATTCACCACAGCAGCGAAATATAATGACAGAATGATAATCTGCGGCTCTGGTACAGTGGTACAAGTTACAACTCTAACCATGAAACCCCCTAACCCTAACTATGCCAAAATGCCATATGAATCTATATTAATCGTATATTATTATTGTTAAACAACTTCTAATGCACATATAAAACAGAATCGACAATCAAATCGTCTTGCAGTCAACAGAAAAGTCTGTAGGCCGAAAAAGTCTGTATACTTATGTACTGTATGTACCCTATTGCCGTAACTGTAAATAAGACTGACACAAAAGACTGTTTAACAATTACAAAATTACAGACCTAATTCCTAAAACCAGAACACATAAATGCCTGACTGCTCATTCGATGAATCATAGTTTCAGAGTTTAGCAGTTCAGCAGTTAGCAGTAACTTTCTGACTATATTTTAATTAATATTTAAAAAAAATTATGCCTCTAAATTATCTTCAGATAAATGTCAGATATTTGTCAACAACAATAATTCAATCTAACGATTGCAGCATTCCAATAGACTACCGTACGACAACCTGAATCTCTCGGGACTTTTCTTCTTTTGCTCTCGCTAAATTATTAAACATACACCAATTCATTGATCTGTCCTGTAGTCTTTTGATATTACCGCTATCTGCTATTACTGATGGCCAGGAAACGAATTTGGCAATTTGGCGTGCAACTGCATCCAAACTTAAAGGCAATACCGCGTAATTACGGAAGCAATTAATACTTTCTGGTACCGTCATATGATATCGCAGTAAAGTCGCTTTCACAAATCCAACGGAGACGGCGAAGCGACAAACTAACGTGCGACAACGTAAACAGCGAACTTGACTATCCGCGCTGGCACTCTTCTTAGGATAAATAAATGGACCTTGAGCGCCAAATAGCGGATGGTTATTTTTGTCATTCCATTCGAAGCAACAAATACATACTGATATACCGTATATACAAATACACGGTTTGCAAATCACAAAAATGGACATCGACTTGAAGCATTTGGTGATATATCGGGAAAGACTTGGTGTATCTTTGTTTGTTGTCAGAGAATTAGCTTTCATCAGTACTGTTCAAAGTGATTTTATTGTGTATATTCTGTTTTCTTGCATTGTGCTGCCTGGTACTTGTCGCTTCATTGTATGCTTGTCGTTTTGTTGGGAGTATTTGGTTGTATTAAGATTGATGAATAATAAATTGAACAAAATAGCATAACTTGAAGTGAATATTGAGAAGAAACTTGACGTCAGACCATATTGGAAGATATTTTGAACTTGGATAACTATTTCATAGACTGCCGGTACGCTACACATAGTTACATTTCGTATTCTAAAATCCAATAGTTACATTCCACCAGTGGCGGCGCGTGGTCATTTTGACAACCGGGGCAAGCTACTGCGGGACCAAGTCACCCCCATCTACGGGGACAGGATGAGCGCTGTAAGTTCTCCCATCATTTTATGAGTATAAAAACCATTCCATCGGTAACAACCAATCGGCAAAAGCGACAATTTTTAACGATAAGAAGTGTCTTTAAAACCGGTCCAAGTCAAGGGATTAATAAATATAGACATAGTTTATTTTGAAACCTCTTTCAAAAGGAAAGGCAATATTTACCCAGATAAATACAATGACATATTAACAGAAACTTCGGGGAAGCAGACAAAACCTAAAATAAGGTTTAAAACGTTACTATGAAGAAAGGAAAGTTATGCAAAGATAAGGACATGCGTCGCTCACTCATAGATATATATGCTGCTAGACTTCTACTGCTTGAACATATATGCAACACGCCGGGGTTTCTTGGAAGCAAAATGCTCAATAACGCGCTGATTAAAGTCATGCATCCCAGAAATAACGTCTCTGTGAATGGATAAAACAGCCAAGGAATTTAATCTATCTTGCTTCATTGTGTTTCTGAGATACGTTTAAATACGCTTCAGCGTGCTGAATGTTTGCTCTGCGTCGGCGGAAGAAATAGGCGTCGTCAAAATGATGTCCAGAAACTTTGCAGACGCCGCAAAGGTAGTTACTAGAGTGTTATCTATGAGGAACCCATAGAGCGCGCAAGTTGATGTGATGTTCAAAAAAGTTTGATTGGTGTATATACATCGCAATTCATTTTCCAATTTACCCACGTTTATCATGGGGTAAAATTTGGAGACAGTAGCCAACAAATGGATGGGAAATTGACATGCAAATTTTGAAAAATTTTTGGGGTTCATCAAAGAGA